GAGCCGTGATCGCGCCATTGCACTCCAGCCTGGGTAACAATAGTGAAACTCCGTCTCAAAAAAAAAAAAAAGAATATTCCTCTGAATATCCTATTCTCTTAACTCCTTACACTGCCTCCCACCCCAAGAAGGATCGGGAGGAGCAAGAGGGGCACAGCCCTTGTACTCATGGATGGCTCATCAGTACATTGAACTTTAAGTCCAGCTTTTAAAAAGTGTGCAAACATGACACAGCACCTTATGAGCTAGTGCACTTTTCACACATTACCCATGACTTCCTACTGGTCTAGAACCTGAGCATCTTAGGAAGGTAAGTTTAATTCTTGTGCATTCTCTTTAGTGACTTTTTCAGGGGTTCAAACACTAGCATAAGCGAAGGGACAGGTGTAAGTATTCTTCTTTTTTTTTTTTTTTTGAGACAGGGTCTCGCTATGTCACCAGGCTGGAAGTTCAGTGGCACAATCTCAGCTCACTGCAACCTCTGTCTCCCAGAGGTTCAAGTGATTCTCCTGCTTCGGCCTCCGAGTAGCTGGGATGATAGGCGTGTATCACCATGTCCAGCTAATTTTTGTATTTTTAGTGAAGATGGGGTTTCACCATGTTGGCCAAGATGGTCTGGATCTCGATCTCATGATCCACCCACCTTGGCCACGCAAAGTGCAGGGATTACAGGTGTGAGCCACGGTGCCCAGCCTAAATATTCTCTCCTTTATATGAAAAAATATGGCACTAAAAAGCTAAAGACTTCACCAAAATTAGGTAATTTTCTCAAAGTAAGTTCCCCAACCTCAGACACATCAACACCCAGACTCAGGCCTCTCAATCTCAATCTAAAGTTACTAAAATCAATCTAAGGGTACAGCGACTCCAGACCTTTCAATCTATAGAAGGGGTAATTTCATTCATCAAGGGCAAGACCTCAGACTGACCTTGTTTCAAGGCCAGGACCCAGCAGTTACCGGTAGTGTCCTTGGGAAGGTCAGAGACTTACTTGCCAGGCCTACCCAAGTACCAAAATCAGAATGAAATTATGTATGAAATATAAAATATCACAGTAGTCCTTCCCTAACTATAGTTTCGCCCGTTGTGGTTTCAGTTACCCAAAGTGAACCTCATGGAAATGCCAGAAATATTTCATAAGCTTTAAACTGCCCGCCGTTCTGAGAAGCAGGATGAAACTGAGTGACATCCCGCTCTGTCCCGTGACCATGCCTTTGTCCAGCTTCTCCATGCCGTCTAGGCCACCTGCCCATTAGCCACTTGGCAGCCATCTTGCTGATCACATCAACTGTTGCAGCAGCTTGTGTTCAAGCCACTTTTATTTGGCTTAATATGGCCCCAAAGCTCAGAGTACTAATGCTGCAAAATTTGGATACGCCAAAGAAAAGCCATAAAGGGCTTCTTTTACGTGAAAAGCTGAAAATTCTTGACTTAATAAGAAAACAGTATCATACGCTGAGGTTGCTAAGATCTACAGTCAGAACAAATCTACCCATGAAATTATGAAGGAAAAAAAAAGTCTGAACATAGTATATATAGGGTTCAGTATTATCTGTGGTTTCAGGCACCTACTGGGGCTCTTGGAATATATCCCTCAAAGATGGGGGTAAACACTGTATTATCATAAATGGAAAATGAGGAAGCCCAAGAGATGCTGGGAGCTGCCAGGGACACACACTTGGGCCGAGGGACACACACTTGGACAGAGGCAGGCTGGGGCAAAAATCCTCCTGGTACCAACTGTCTTAGACTAGCCTTTCTTTTTAAATCGAGCTCACCACGCCGACTGCAATTACACATGAATGGGGAGCAATCACATTATCCTAAAGCCTCATTTTAATCTGTCACACCCACTTAATTCCAGAGCTGCTAACATGTAATAATAAAACTCACACTCAATTCTCTCTCAATTTCTACTCTTCAGCACCCTCTGCTACAGGTATTGGCCAACATAAAACAGGCAAGAAAAAGACTCATGTATCCACAAGGCCGGTCATTTTAATCCCTGAAAACTGAGTTTACTTCCTATCTAAGCTTGCAACCACTTGACACCGATGTGATCAAGTCTATGTGCTAAATACAGGAAAAGCCTTGTTAGAAGACCCTGCTACCAATCTGTAGGAAGTAAAACCAAAAAAACCCACTTTGAACTTGCATCGTGGAGTGTGCAATCAGCAAATCCAGACTACAGGAAAGTCAGTAAGTCAAAAGGCCCAAGTTCTTCAACAGATAAAGTAGAAGCCAAAAAAAAAAAAAAAAAAAAAAAAAAAAAAAAAAAAAACAAAAAAAAAAAAAAAAAAAACGGTAAGAAGGAAGGAATGAAAAGAGAAGCTACAAATTAAGAGACTTGTTAAACGACTTATCAGTATAGCCACATGGTAAATAGCAGCAAAAGACACAAAGACATGAACTCTCAATCCACTCAACAAATATTGCTAGACAAAAGAAGCCAGTCTGAAAAGGCTGCAGACTGCATGAACCCAATAATATGACATTCTGGAAAGGGAAAAACCTCAAGAGATGGAGAAGAGACTGGTGGTTGTGGAGAGCTTAGGAGGTGAGGCACAGGGATTTGCGGGGCAGTGCGACTGTTCTGTACAGTACTGTAGCTGTGGATGCCTCTCTCAAATCCAGTGAACTTTACAGCACAAACAGCAAACATTCGTCTATGCGATTTTAAAAACAATTAATGAGACCCTATAGAATGCAGGCTGAGGCAGAAGAAACCGATTGGATTACACGTATAGGACTCAGCAATGCAGAGAGGGGTGCGGAGAGAAGTACCTAAGTAACGTGGAAACGGGGAGAGAAGTACCTAAGTAATGTGGAAACGAGGGGAGAATGTAGACTCAAAGTGAAAGGAACTGTACCTGAGCGCAGTACTCTAAGGGATCAAGTCATTTCCCAAGGAGTACAGGACAACAATTTTGAAACCTCCATGTATACCAAAGTGGAACAAGATAAGTAAATGGACTGTGGACAGCAGGAGCCACAGTGGGATTTTCTCTGCTGGACAGAGAAGTTACAGGTAAGCTGGAGGGCAAGGCTAGAATAATCCCTGTAGAGTTGGAGACATCAACATGAACGCATGTAGAGCTTAATATGGATGCAGATGGATATATATCAAAATAATCACAGACGTCTATATACACGCATTTGTATATACACACCTGTTTTCCCAACTCTGTCCCCTGAGGGGGCCAAGATGCCATGATATCCCAGTAATAATGAGCACATCAGTGCCCAGATCTTGGTTTCTAATTCCATTCTCCCACAAAAGGAACTGGGGATCCTTGGAGAAATGCTGGAGTCTAAGGCTGGGGCAGAAAACACATAGATGATCTCAGAACACCATGTAGTTCCAGAAAGTAAGGAAGTGCTCAAAACAGCAAACAAATAATAATGTGACTATGTGAAAGGGACACAGGAGCCAGCTGAAAGAGCTCCCAGTGGACACAGCCAGATGACGGGGGCAACAAAACAAACCACACAGCACTGGATGATAACCCAAAGCATACACACAATATCTGCAAGTCCATGTTGATATGAGTAACTGAATAAACACAAATGAGTAAGGATCAGCAAATCTTCCATACAGAAACATTTCAAATAATTTATGTAGCTACTCCGTCCTCCAGGAGGAGGAACAGAACTCCCCGTCCCAGTAAAGTACCCATCCAGAGTGACTCCCTTCCAAAACGAACAGTACATAAAGGAGGGAAAGAGTCACTCCACAGTGGAGAAACCCTGGCAAATATGACCTCAGCCATGCAGTCTTGACAGCATCACCCTTAATATAAGGGGATGAGAAGAGCACTTACCCTCCGTGGTCTTCCTTCCCAAAACCCATAACCACAGCTGAATCATGAGAAAAACACCAGAAAACCAAAACAGGGACATTCCACAAATCACATGACCAGTATTCCTCAAAACTCTGGGCGCAGTGGCTCACGCCTGTAATTCCAGCACTTTGGGAGGCCGAGGCGGGCAGATCACAAGGTCAAGAGGTCAAGACCATCCTGGTCAACATGGTGAAACCCCGTCTCTACTAAAAATACAAAAATTAGCTGGGCATGGTGGCGCATGCCTGTAATCCCAGCTACTCAGGAGGCTGAGGCAGGAGAACTG